TCCATGTTTACTATCTAAAATTTAGATTCTAAATTATGAAAAAACCTGGACACGAAATGATCACAAAGAAAAGTTGTACCTGTTATTTTAGAATAATCCATATCATATCAAGTCTTGTCATCTAATCAGTCTATGATTTTAACACTAATGTATTTCCATATTAATGGAAGTATTTAATCATTGAATTAAAATTTGATGAATTTAAGCTATTAAATTAATAAAATTTTTAAAACAAGGATTACATGGTAATAAATTAGTTTAACTATAGTAAAAAAATACAAAATATTGATAAATAATAAACGAAGAAGCACTGCCTTGCTTAAAGACAAAAATAAAAAATAATATTGATAAATTAACTAATAATAATAAATAAATGTAAGCTATTAAATAAATTATAAATTTTAAATTATAAACAATAATTTTTTTGATAACTAAAAAATTTAGGTGAATTAAACAATGTAAAAACATATGACAAATAATATTTATTTCATAAAAGCTGTGAATGTGTTCCTTAAAATAAAAAATCGTAAATACTCTTTAATTATAATGTTTTATTAACTATATTTTTAGTGTTTACTTATGTATATTATTATTTTTTTATAATTAATTACAATTATATGTTATACATAAGATTTGTGATTATTAATAACAATTTTTTTTTTACTATATAACTATGAATTATTAGCTTAATATTAGTTTTTTTGAATATAAATATATTAAATAATCTTCATTAGTTTCATTTAAATTTCCTTTTACATGAAACATAAGAGTTGAACAAATTTTTTGATGACATTTTGTTTTGTTTAAAAACTAATATAATCGTAAAATAGTCCAATATTAGAACAAAGTGAAAAACTAAAAAATCGCACCCTCTAAATATAAACTGAATTGACGCCACTGATTTTATGTTAAAAAGTTATTGAGTTACAAACATTTTATTACATTAAGTGTATATGCAGCACGCAAATATGCATTTTACATATACACCATAACGAGCTGTATCCACTTGCCTTTCTTAACCACTCAATGTATTAAAATGCAACTAAATAATTGCTCACCAAAAAATTTTTGTTATCCCATTAAAATTTTGCATAAGCAATACTCTAAAATCAGCTATTAATTAATAGCTTATTAAATTAATCAAAAGAATTTTGAAAAAATAAAAATAATTTTATATTAAAAATGAATAATAAAATATCTGTTATTGATGTAGTTTAATAATGCAAAAATTATTTATAAAATGTTTCATCAAAATGATTATCGGTAAAAAATTATAAGAGATCTGTTTCACACTATATATTATTCAGTAAGCATCAAATGATTTTAGGTTATCAGAATTTTATCACAACTTATTGATAATTATAATTTTTTGATTATACGATTCATTTTTATATACACAAATACAATACATGATTATTAAGTATGAAAATAATTAATATTTAACCTTAGCGGCGGATTTTTAACATTTTTCTTGTGGGGAAACCTAATGAATAAAATTTAATTGGAATACGTATCAGAGTCTTGCCTTACATATTAAATAATAAAAAATATCGGTGTTTGGGAGGGCCGACACCCTGACACACGTAAATCCGCTCGTATTTAACTATTACATAGAAAGCAATTTTAGAGATATCGATAATTAAAATTATTGTGACACGAGTTGAATTTTGAATATATAGAAAATTTATCTATTATATGATTATTTACATTTTTGTACTTCTAAAAACCGTATAATGATGAATATTTACATTATAAATAATACATACAATGTGATTATTTTAACTCTATTCACTCGATTTCTCTTAAAATATTAATTATGATAAAACAATTTATTGGTACTTTTTAGTTTCATATATTTTTCGATTTACCAGTTATTTATAACTTTTTAATTCATCCTTTATACTTCATAAGGGTGTCAACTTAATTTTTTTAAATGGCAACAGACATATTTAATTGGATTATAAAATAAAAAATGATCTAATGAAAAAAGTAACAGGTTGAAAACAAATATTATCTATTTTTTACATTGTTATAACCATTTTAAAATATAGACTGGTTGTGATGCGAAAGTATAATAATATTTATCATTAAACATATTTCGGCCGAACCTATCTTTTATCTAGACATAAAAATGTTAATAACTTTCGAAATACTAGTCCAAAAGTTGTTATCGTCCAGTCATTTTCTTAATCAGATCATTTTCTATTTTATAAGCTAGTCAAATATGTATGTTACCATTATAAAAAATAAAAAATAAAAAATTAACACCCTTATTATAAGTTAAACGGGATGAATCAAAAAATTAATCTAACTGATAATTTAACTGATAAATCAAGAATTATATAACACTAAAAAAAATCAAAAATATTTATTATTTTAAAAAAAATTGAGTGGTTAGCATTAAAATAATTACTCTATTAACTAATTCTTAAATTTAAACAGTTTAATTATATATTAACAGTTTAGTTTAAATAACAGTCTAATTATATAGAGCAATTTTGCATATATATATATATATCATATATATCATATATATCATATATATATATGATATATATTAACTATCTTATTAACCAGCTATCTCTCGAGTATAAATCCGATCAGGGAATTTATATGGCCACTCAGCAAAATATTCTTTTCTTAGTATACCTTTTAAGGCTTCGGATACATTTATAACTAACGATTTGAAATTAATTAAATTACATATATAATTTAATATACATTCATAATTAATTGTTGTACACCACTAAAAAAATTAAACTAATAAAAAATTTGATTAGCGTAAATTAAGTTAATTAACCTAAAAAGATTAAAGAAAAATAGTTGACTCTGACGAAGAACAAATGGTAAAAAATTAATAAGAGTATAAAAGAAAAATGTCAACGACCTATGGACAATCTTACAAAGTAATAGCTATATCGTGACCTCGATAAATCTTAGTTATAATACTTACTTTCAATATTGCAAAAAAAAAATTGAGATGATTAAAATACAGAAAAACTTGAACAATATTCAAATAGGGGAATTGACATACTTTTTAATAATTTAGTTTTACTATTGCTTCTTAAATTACAAAAAACATCAGCTTAATTAAACAAATTTTATATTTTTATAGGGTGATAGAAATGTTTAACCAAATAAAAAAGTTTTGATAATAAATATTCATTAGCCGGTTTAAAATAAATCTTATTTATGATAAAAATTTTAAATATATGTCTTTTAAATATTTTTAAAACATCAAATAGTATAATAAAAAAATGTATGTAATTTATAGATTTATAGATACATTTTATTCCAGATAAAATGTATTAAAATTGGCCTAATTGAGCAAAAATTCTACTTATTACATTCAACTAATAGTAAGTAATGGACAGTCTTATTAAAAATACTGAAATTTATTCTAATATATTATAAAATATTCATAACGTATAGTTTTTTTCTTTTAATAATATTAGCTTAGTAGCAATCAAATAATAATAAATAAATAAATAATAAACATATGAATTAATGTATGGATCAATTATAAAATAACGATCAACTAAATCAATCATATAAAACACTAACGAAATGAGTATATATGAGAGTTCGTCGGATAATTTAAAACTAAGTTAGTATTTGCATTGTTATCATTTGATATTATAAGAACGACAGGATTATTTTAATAACCTTATCAAAAGTCGAAGGTCATTATACAGTATAATATACCTGAAGATAACGTTTTAGATATGAAATAAATATAATTTAATACCATTTTTTAAAAGAAATATTTATAAAGATGATTTTCTTGTTACAATATAATAATAAATATTGAAAAGCGTTGAATATCGCATTTTAAACATGTGATAAATAAGCTATTTTTGTCATTAAAAAGAATTTAGTCATCTAAAACCTGCTAAAAAATTTTATAGTCAAATCTTAATTATATCTTAAAAAATTAATCTGTCAACTGCAAACTGCCCCTCAACAACTACACGCTTTAAAAACTTTATGTAAATAATTTTGTTGCTCTGCAAATTGATTAAAGTATTAAGATCCACATAATTTTAAATATTATTCAATTTTAGACACACTTATTCGAATTAAAGGTTCCTAAAAGTTATTAATTAAAAAGTCCGATTAAGGTAAATTACTTTTTTTAAAAACTATTTAAGTTTATTGTTGCTAATTAATATCAGTTACAACGAAAGTTAAAAGACACAAATGGTCGTGTGCATATTCTACATAAAATATCCAAAAGGAGATTTCCAGAATAAACGAGTTTTTAATCGGTTACTTCATTAATTAAATGATAACACCATTTTTTCAACAAGAACTACGGAAAATTGAATCTAATAGAAAAAAAAAGGGAAATACGACATCGAAAAAACTCGGAATTTGCAGTTGATACTTTTTACTAGTTCGTTTTTGCTCGAATGAATATGTCCAACAGAAAATAACGGCGAGGTCAATGGTACTAAAATTTCTGTACCACCGTGAGGTCTATACCTTAGAGTGTAAGGACAAATAAATTAAAGTCTGTAAGACGACGCAATTCAAAATTAAGAATTAATGTAAAAATAAAAATGATCAATGGAAATTGAGATCAAAAAGTACTACAATATAATACCAATATAACTTATCGTCATTAATATGGAAATCTAGGTATAAAACAGAACTTTTAATTAAATTAAATAACAAAAGGATAGAGGGGAAGGCATGATTAATTTTTTCATTTTTGATATTTGACGCGTGGCTATATACCTAACGTTTGCTGTATATAACAGATCAGTAGGGAGGGCGGTGTCACTATTGATTTTTAAAAAGACGTTCGGTTGGGAGGGACAAGACTTGTAGCGAAAGCGGTTTTTCTTAGAGAATCGAACCTAACCATAATTAATGACATTTTAACCTAAAAATAAATTATAAAATTTTAACCTAAAATTAATTTAAAATCTATAAACGTGTTTAACTATGCTATTAATTAAGTTTGGCTAAATACTGAAATTTCGTTTTATACTCACTTCAAAAAGTAGAACGTGTAAATCCTTTCGGCGATTAACGCCACACAAGAAAAACTTAAAATCGAATTGTTCACAATGAATATAATACAGAACCGAGACAACACGACGTGCACCGACTAACGACCGCTGACTAGAAAGAATCGTTAGCAGTTATCACTTTATAAACGACCAACACTCAACGGAGACAATACTTCGTTCAGAGCTCTAATACAATATGTGTTAAATGTGTAACCGGCAACTGCAGCAGCACAAGCGCACGCAACGTACCGCTAGCAGTTGGCACCACATCGCTATTCGTCTCCCGATTGGCTGACAAATTATTTTTTCTGCACACAAGTAGACAACAGTACCATACTTAAACGACGTTGCCTCTGGATACCGACGATCGTCCACCTATCATCAACGTGTAGCGGTTTTTACCATGAACCACAAACCGAATGGTTTAATTTACAGAATATATACACGATGTGTAATGTTCATATAGATAAAAATCACATATCGTTGCTGCATCACAAGATTTAAAAAGTTATTTGAAGATGGCTGCAAATAATAATTTGTAGCTCATTGATAAAAAGTTCGACCATCTTGATTAAAATTTTTTAATAGAATGATTGAAAATTTGAATTTATGAAGGCCTAAGAAGCTAAACCAAAATTGTAGAATTTGCTAATTATTTATTATATACTAGTGTTATATGTATAATAAAATTATAAAATAGTAAAATTGAACTCACCTACAATCCATAACCAAAAACAACTGGGCAAAAAGTAAAACATGTTAAATGAAGTCTTGGTTTAATTAGTCATTTAAACTTAGACGTTTTATATTTTGTTAAAATGACTTTTGTATATTTCATAAAAAATATTTTCTGTTTGTAGTTCATAATCTTGTATTTGTGTTTTACCATACGCTTTATATTTTGCTCGTTAAATTAATTTAATGTGCTGATGAATTGATACTGTGATGATAGAGTAACCTCGCCAAAAATGCCAATTTCCAAGATGCTAAAAAGTAAAATTAATACTTGTTCAAAATAAAAATATACCTAACATAACGTCGTCGTTATACCTTACACCGGTATTAGGTACTGCATAGAGAAATAGCGAACTATTTCATTTAAAAATTCCATTTTATCGATTGATGTAAATTAAGTTGGTCAAAACCCTCCTTTAAACACGTGCATGATATTAGCAATTATGATACTGTCTCTATGTAATAAATATTAATACCCATAATCTAATTTAAAAAAAATGTATGTGGGTCTATACCATACGTTTTATTTAAGAGAAGTTCTGGCAGTGCCTGAGCTTAGGAGAGCTCATTTGATAAAGGGACACATCCCCCTCTGGAAATTAAGTTAAGTTTAAAATTATAATTTTCTTAAAGTTTTATAATTTTTCTTAGTATTTAAAATTAATTCTATATACCCTAAAACATGGTCAAATTAAAGTTATGACTAAAATAATAATGGTCATCACGAATAAAAATTACTTTGGAAATAACAATGTAAAATATAAAAATTATATCAATTTAGCATAAAATATGCTATTTTTGTGTTAAATTCTTGGTTTTGTATTTTATTTTATTATAAAGGGATTACACTGATTTTCATAAATATTATATCAAAATAATTGACATAGTATAAAAAGTTAAACATATTTAAATTTGTTTGTTTCTTTGAAGTCGAGAAAAATAATTTTAAAATTTAAACTAGCTAAATTTCCATTTTTATTTAGTGGCGAATGCGACGTACGGTTTCTGAGACGGTAACACTTGGGTCTTTCACGCCTGTGGCACTAAATTTTTTTTTAATTCTTTTTGAGTTAGAAAAAAATGTTTAACTCATTTAGATTCAATAACTTCAATAAATATCAAGGATCCCATTATTGTAGTCTACTCTCGTGAGAAGAAATTCATATTAATATTATTTTAATATGTGGTTTTTTTTTTGTAGCTATCATTATTTTCTCAGCTCTTACTTGACCTACTTTTTTGTCAAATTTTTTTTTTTAATTAAACACTATCTACAGATTTGCATCGAAATGTTTTTATGATAGTGATTTTAATTTAAAATTTAAAAAAGTAGCACAAAAAATACCATATAAGTGTTATACATTATATATATGTGGCATTTTTGTGTTCCTATTTCGAGTATACATACATTTTATGAATAATATAAGTAATATACAAGATGATTTTTTTTTTCTTAAAATAATAATTATGTTAAGAAAATTATTTTAGTAATTTTTTTCATTTTTTTCATTTATTTCTCGATTTATCAGTTATTAATTCCTTTTTTTATTTATTTATTATAAGAGCCTCAAATTTACGTGAAAGAAATTATTAAAAATTTAATTAATAATTAATAAATAGAGGAATATATAAAAATAAAAAATACCAAAATAATTTTTTTAACATAACTGAAAAGTCTTTTATTAAAACGTATCTCTGACACATTTTTACCAAACAAGTTTTATGTTATATTATTAATTTTGTGATTTAAATATGTAATTTAATGTAAAATTTAATATGCACATAAATAAATTATAAAAAAAATACATTTTTTTGTCTCTTTTGAAAAATTGAGAAATGAAGACACAAGCTTTTTTAACAAATGACTATTCAATTATTATTTTAAGAAATATCGAGAGGCTAGCATTAAAAAAAATTATTTTCGTATACGTTATTTTATGAAAAAAATTGGAAGGCCAAATTTATTCCCCATCTTACTTTATTTTTTTGCATAAAAATTCATATAATTATTTTAAATTTTAGGTTAGCCTAAAATAAGGTTTAGACCTTATGTACAAATATGACTTGTATAGACTTGAAACAGGTATTGAGAAGTTCCTGTTTTCAGTAAAACAAAATTTAAAAAAGCAATAAAATGGTCATAAACAAGCATATATAAAAACAATGTAATAAAACATAACTAAAAAATACAATTTGTGGAATTCAAAAAATCAGTTATTTTATTTTTTTTGAATAGTTTTTTTTTTTTATAAAAAACAATAATCTAATAATTAACGTAAAATATTAGTGATAATAGTAATATTATATTTATACGCAATAAACATTTCAAAAAAATTAAATACAACATATTTTTTATTAATAAATGATAATATTTTGATGACATTCTACGGGAGGTTGAATTTCGCTCCACAAGCAACTATATTAACTATCATTAGATAAATACATGTTATTATCGATAACCAAAAAAATTTTCACTTTTTTCAATTGGTATTAATCTCTATCTTATCACACATTAAGCAAAAATAAGTACACAAATTTGTTGAAGATGAAACATCCAAGAAAAAAATGTGTGGTTGAAGTTATTACGAGAAAGACAGATGTACCGGAGCACTCTAAAATTAAAAATAAAGATTTTTTTTATAAAATTGTGTTTTTTTTTGTTTTTTTTTCATAAAGAAGGTCGTTGGAACAATTTTTTTATCATTAAGTGTGTTATAAGATCTTTAATTTGGTATACATTTAAAGAATGTAAACAATCTGTAACATTTTCAATAATTAAAATGAAAAAAAAAAATTACATGAATGGTCAGTTGCTTTCTAACAATCTTGTACTTTTACAATGTATAATGTAAACCTTGTATAATGATTATTTTATATTATAATGTAGCCCAGAAATCACATCTAAAAAATTTGTTAATATTACGACTATGGCTTTTATAACAGTTGTATTTAAATAAAAGTGAATTAATAAAAATATATTAAATATACAATTGCAGTGTATTTTTTAAACTGTTAAACCATATAACAAGATTTCATGTAACTCTTATGTTGTCTTATTCAACGGTTCTAATCCTTTTTATATCCTAGTACCACCTACACAATTTGACTATTTTATGTACCATTTCAATTACTAGTTATGAGCTGTCCATGCATGACTAGTGGTGTCAATTTTTATCATAAGTTGAAAATCGCTAGTTCAATTGGTTGTATTTTTACCCGTTTCTTATTAACTGGACGACACATTTATCTAAAAAAGACTTATACTATAACTAGCAATTTATTTTGAAAAAAATATTTTTGATGCTCAATGAGAATTTGTTTACAAATTCACTGTACAATTGAATTGTTAACTAAATAATTGTAAGTTTATTGAAGTACTTTTTATTTTTAATTGAAAAAGCTAAAATAGTATTATAAAAGGTAGACTTTGCTATCAATCTTTTTTCAGATAACAAGTCATACTATGATCTCTGATAAACTTTTACTAATATCAGAATAATAATTGTAAAATAAATTTTTTTACTATGCAACATTTTTCTTGACAAGTTTATTTTTTAAAAGTACACAATTCCAAAAAATAGTGATTTATATATTTTTCAAATACATTTTTATAAAATATCAAAATAAAACCTCTAAAACTAATTTGTTTTTAATTTAAAAATCAGGAATCAATTGTTATTAACTTATATATTTTTTAATTTCCTTATATATTGTGAGCGTTTTTAAGATAAAAAATATTATGACATTCATTTAAGGCTTGACGCAAAACTAAATTTTTATTATCTTATCTTTTAATCTATTTGTAGTTTACATTTTTATTTTAAATATAAATTATAAAAAAATATATATTTTCAGTATTTAATATTTAGTAAACATATGTACTACTGAACTTCAAACAATTTTCTAAAAATATTAATATTTTATTTGAATAAGATTTCTTTCTTCTTGTTTATTGCCTTTATCCCAATTACTTTGGGTCGGTTACCCTTATCCTAAACTACTACTTGACACAATAACACCTCATATGTACAAAAAATTAAAAACGTATTACATAAACTTACACTGTATGTTTTTTCTGAATTAAAAGATATTAAAGTTTTAACTATTAATTTTTTTTACATGGGAAAGCTTTACTATCAAGCGAAAATGTTTTATTAATTAAAAATTTTAACTAATTTATTCAAATTCAATTTTTTTTATTGTAATTATATTTTTACAGAATATTCACAATTACATTTATATTCAACTATTCTCTTTTAAATCCTGGTTGGCGGATTTCTGGAGGTATATAAGTTAAGTCTTCTCTCAGATTCTTTGTTTTGGTAACATTATTTTTCATTCTCTTCATTTTTTCCTCTTTTATAAGATCATACTTAGATTCTTTATCAAAAAAGAATAAAACCTGTTCTTTATTTCTAAGCTCTTCTTTAATGCTTTGAACTTTTTGTAAACGTTTTATTTTATTTATATGCTCTAGTTGCCTATTTAATTCTTCAGGTCTAAAAACTTCCCAATCTTTATAAATCTTAAATAAAATGTAACAATATGTAAATAAATAAACATACTAATGTAAAATTTTAATAATTACTTTTTTTTGAAGTTGAATTTCCTTTTCTTCGTTTTGTTTCACAGACTCTTTCACAGCATTTTCAGCTTCATCAATGATACTTCTATTGTTTAGTCTTAATTTTTTTAATAAATTACTCAATTCTTCAGCATTTTGTGGTTTGCGTTTGTCAATAGAAGCTAGCCCTAGTTCTACAGTTTCAGAATAAACAGGGCCCTCAATTTTTTTCAGGAAATCACTTAATGTATTCCATTTATTGTAATATGCTAATCCAATAGTTTTAATACTATTTTTCATGACAGAATTATTATTTTTGCTAAGTGCTAACAGAGTTTTTCCTATTAAATGGTCAGCTTCATTTAAATCAAAATGATCATCAAAATAAGGATTCCTTATAAAATCAACACGTATTCTAGTTTCTTCTTCATCGTCAGAATTTTGTATTTCTTCATTTTTTGTAACTTTAACTTCTTCCCATTCAGTAGGATTAGTGATATATTTTAAACAAGAATAGAGTGACATGCTCTTCATAATATCATTATTAAATTCTTCTTGTAACATTTGATTAGATGCAATTTTTGCTGCATTCCGAAAATCATTTTCTTTTAAAAAAGAATCCATTAATAAATTGTTCAAATAGTCATCAGGAAAGATGCCATAATTTAATTTATCTTTAAGGATTCTAATTAATTCATTTTTATTAAATTTTAAAAATAACCGAATGACAGCATGATGTGTAGATTGTAGTAAAGTGCCTGATTGAGCTGATAAACGAAATTTATGAGTAAGATCATCTAATTCATCTAAATATGTTGAGTCATTTAATGCATTAGCAAAAATATCTAGATCTATAGCATTTATTTGTTTAACATCGTTTTCTAATAGGCTTGATAACTTGTAATACAAAGCTTCAGGTTCAACTTTTTTTAGAATAGAACAATTCAAACGTTCCTGCCATACCTCTTCACATTTGTAAGCATTAGATAAAAATGATCGTCTACTGTAAAGATGTTTTACAACAGATGTCACTGATTTCCTTAATGTGTACATAACTAGAGAACTTAAAATAACTTGAATAGAATCATTAAAACATTTTTATGTAAAAAAAATAGTATTTGTTTTTATTTAATAAAGTACTACTAAATTAATATTTTGATTCATACTATGATACACAAATGGTTAACAGATAATAAATTAAATAGTCTACTTAAATTGATAAGCCGTTATAGAGCACTATTATATAGAATATCACAGCAGATTCGGATTCACAAGATATGATAACACTACTGTGATTTTACACGGGAGAGCACCTTTGCCACGAACTGATGATGCTCCGACATTTACATACTTCGACATTTGACAAAGTAGTAATTGTTACGAACATCTGGTACTCCGACCATCTGATTCATAGGTTACCAAAATTATGACGGATTTTACTCCGACATTAAATTTAAAAAATGAGATAGTAAAAACTCCGACATTATCGATAGTTTGATTATGCATCGAAAGTTATATTATATTTCGATTGCATTGTTAGTAATAGGGCGCATTGATCGTATATGTTGCAACGTCAGGGTCACGTGGCTACAGAAACACTACATTATTAAATTAATTATATTATTATTAATAATATTGTAAAATTTAAATTAAAATGTTCTATTCAATTAGCATTTATTTGCTACTATAGTTATTATACAATAATATACATTTTGCTTATTATTTTCTGGTACAATTTCTCACATTTGATATATGTTATTAATACTCGAATGATAATAGTCATTTATTAAGTAACATAAAATTAATAGTGTTTAATACAAATGTACATTTTTGAAAAAGTTTTCTCTATTGTTAGAATATATATTTATCTTTGAGAATTTTATTTTTTAATTATCCAATAATTACAAAATATTTTCATCAAATCAAAAAACTGTTAGTTAACTGTTTTTTCAGTCGATCCACAAAATTTTATCTAACAGTAACTTATTTTTTAACATCTAAGAGATCCATTTGAAAACTAATTTTTCTATAACAAATATGTGCTGTAAAAATTGTCTTGTGCAATTTTATTAGTGATTAATTCCTAAGTGTGTAATATTAAAAAATAATAACTAATATAACACATAAAATTGTTTGTACAATATAAAATCATTCTTGGGGATGTCTGGATTTTTTCCTGTGCTGCATTAGGATATCTAAGTATAAAATAACACAGTATATCCAACTTCAATGCAGTAATTGTTGAACGCATTTTTTTTAGTCTTATTACTTTCTGGAAGTTTCTTCCAATAGGTTTTTATAGACTCAGAAGAGTATGATTAATTTTTCTTTCAGCAATTTTAATTGAAAATTAATTACTAAAATTATTTTTAACTTATATTAAAAAAAATTAAAATAGTATTAAACTGTGTAAGTTTTGCTACAAGTCTAATATGAGTTATGCTAAGAATTAGTAAGTTTTGGTTATATATAAGTAGAATTAATTTTTTCTTATTTAAAAATTCTGTGTGTCATCTAAAATTAAAAATATATTAACTCATCGTTAAAAAAATTTAATTTTGTGACATGAGTTTTATAATCAATGTTAAATTATAAGTAAAACCATTATAATCTCCAGTGGTGCTCAAAAAAAAGTTAAAAATATTAAGGAGTAAAAAATTATTTATTTAAAGTTCTTTTTGTTTAAAATCTAATATACATTTATTGAAATCAGTTTAATATTTCCTTGAAAAAAATATCTGAATAGCCTTTCCTTTTTTTAATAATAATTAAATTTGTTGGACAATTTTCTCAGTGGTCCAGTGAGAAAAAAAATCTTAAATTTAATGAGGGCCTTCTGAGCCAGGCCGACACTGCGAAAAGATGATTATTTTGCCAATGTTTTCATCTCGTTAGCTTAACGCGTATCCTGCAAATACAAATGTATTGTTTTATAAATACAAAATGAAGTTTTTTTAAAAATTTGAATTAATTTTATATGTACTTTTTAGAATATGAAAGCATATTCCAAAAAAAATAAAAATTAATTTTCAAAATAAAATCACGTAATGTAATGTATTATGTTTTGTAAAAATGTAATTATATATATATATATGTCCTATAAAAAAGTTGTACAGTTTCAATATTACATTATTATATTTGATTTCCATTTAATAAGAAAAAATGAATAATTGTGTGATTATCAATCATGATTATAAATTAAAATATTTAACTCTATACGTATATTTGACAAAACTTCAAATAATCATAATGCAAATGAAAAAAAACTGAACCATTATTTAATGAATTGACTGCATATTTTTAATCGAGTTAGTTAAGTTTAAAACCAATTTACTTAGCAGAAGATTTTTGTAAGTTTATGATAAATCATAAACTATTGTCCACTGTTAACTTATAACTGCCTTGTGTTTACTTAATTTGACTAGAGCGTAGGAGTATTGCAACAAAATATTTGGGAACTCTAATTACATAATTTTTTACCTAATCTAAAAAAATATTTCTATACAACAAGAAATACAAATTAATTCATTTTCGGTATAGTCTATGGCAGAATTTTAGGAGACAAAGCCCCCTCAAGTCTCTCCAGATTGCGGTCAAATCCAAACTGGACTGAATTAATTTCGTTACCCACCTTTGAACAATGAAATGATATTAAATCATATTTTTGTTTGATTTCATATGAAACTAATTTTAATGACAGTTTTATAGAATGGGATACCGAATATCTTTATAAACGCATCTGTTTAATAACGATACTATCATCATAAAAACGTACCTCTATATTTTTTAACTAATCTAATTGAATGTTATAATATTAATGTGCTTACAATGTTATAATAAGCACTAATAAGGAGAGGTAAAAAATATTTTACGTCTGAAAATTGGAATCGCTCTTCTTTCCCCTCCAAAAAAAAATGTAAGGGCTCACACCAGTTATGTTACCTTTATGTACCTATTTTATCAAAAGTCGGATACATTTCGGGGATCTTTATTGTAATAATTATTCGTTAATAGACAGTAATCAATTATAACGCTATTTTATTATATTAATTAGTGATAAGGGTTATATTTTTCCATCAGATAATATATTGCTACGATATTCATCTACTCCGAAATTTGATATTTTTTTAATCGATTTCGCGAATAATCGATATTCGGAGCAATCAATTAATAGTCCTATTCGGAGTATTCGTCGTCGTAGTAACATCCAAATTTTTGTAACCAGGTATTCGTAGTAATTGTTGTCGGAGTAAATGTATTATTCGGAGGATTTTTTTACAGTGTCGGAGTAAATGAATGTCGGGGCATCATCAGTTCGTGGCAATCTCCGGAACCCATTTTACACATGTTAGTGGAACAATAAATATAGTTTAAAAAAACTAAAAAAACACACTTTGAAAGCACATCGAACTAAAAAGTTAAAAATAATTTTTAAAATAAGCTTNTAAAAAAACACGCTTTTAAAGCACATCGAACTAAAAAGTTAAAAATAATTTTTAAAATAAGCTTAAAACAATAATGAACGAAAAATACTAGTATTATTGTGATAAAAGCGTCGGGCCCTTAATATACGAAAAATATGACACAAAGTACCCACGCTTTTATCACAATAATACTAGTATTTTTTGTTCATTATTGTTTTAAGCTTATTTTAAAAATTATTTTTAACTTTTTAGTTCGATGTGCTTTAAAAGCGTGTTTTTTTAAACTATATTTATTTTTTACTTTTTAGTTTCAGGTTATGATAGTAGTCACTATCAATATCATGGTTGTAACGGGTAACGGGAAATCAGGGTTCGATTCCGGGGAGGGAGTCTGAGAAACGGCTACCACATCCAAGGAAAGCAGCTGGCGCGTAAATTACCCACTCCCGGAACATGGAGGTAGCGACGAAAAATGACGATATGGGAATCATCCTTTATAATCTGAATGAATACACTCTATATCTCTTAATGATAGTAAAGCGTGTTAATATATATTTTAATAGTAAAATTCTGAATCATGCGAATTGTGATATATAGATTTAACTTACAGAAGTAGAAATTGATGGAGTAATATTTGGGTCATCAATCGTCTCTTTTATTACATCAGTCTATTTAATAAATTTACTAATGGATGCTTAGATTTAATATGTCTAATTAAATTTGAAGTCGAAGAATGATTATTTTTTAATTTTATACGACAAAGTCCACACTTTACATGAATATTAACTGCTTCAAGTTGAAAAAAATCCCAAATAACACTTGATTTATTCATTTTAAAATGAAATAAAATACCTTCATAAATTAAATAAAGTGTTTCACAATTTTCGATTTTGTGCACAAGATTTATTGTAATCACAGGAAACAGCGTTGACACAATGAGTAAAATTTTAAATAAATGAGACTAGATTATACATAATATGTCAGTTTTTAGAACAATATTCATTCAAGAATAGACCTGTAATTGCATACAAGAAAATTTTGAAATATACGAGAGAAGAGACCTATTTTTCTCACTGCATGCACTAAACATTAACACATTGATAATACCTACATTGTATTTATATACCTAATTTAACACATAAATAAATCTATGTGTTGATGTTAATAATAAAAAAATAATTTTTTTAGATTTTAAATTTAATCTTTATTTCAATAATAATTAACAAATTTAAATATAATTAGTAAAAATATTAAACAATTTAATAGAAAAATATTTTATAAACATCAAATAACCAAATAAATTACTTTTTGAATAACTATTGTGGGTATGTATTGAGAATCTAAAGTTTTAACAGAAGAAAAAAGGAATCAAACTATTGAATCATTAAAAGTTTTAACTAAAAATTAGCTCAACCATCTTATAGGTAAAAATCAGGGTTTGAGGCCCATTATCTCATAAAATTATTAATTAGTAATAACCAACTACTTTTTCCATAATGTACATACAATTTGAATTTGATTCTCATTTCTATCGCGCTTTAATTTAATTCCAATATATATAAACAAATAATGAATAAAAAATTATTGATAGCAATATTACATTGCATTTTACAATAGTAGTTAATAAATAATAATTATTTATCCTCGTAATCGGAATGAATACTTTATATCTCTTAATTAGAATAAATCGTGTTAATATATTAATTTTAATAGTAATTAGAATAAATGAAGAGTGAATGTGTCAAACGTTCTATGTGCCAAAAAAGTGAAAAATTGTTTTATTTCTGATTTATGTTCTATGTGCCAAAGGTCACAATCTTGTATGTGTTTCAAGTGTCAATTAAATTTTTTACTTGTACAAAATTGGGTTCATAGATTGTATTTGTTTTGTGAGACATGACCATTGTTACCTGTACGTTCTAAGTGCCTTGGGCGAATATAATAGTTTGATGATAACAATATTATGATATAGTCCGTTATATTTCAAAATAACTAATACTGGTGTTATTGTATTCGTTAAGTTTTTTTTTTATTTGCTTAATTGTGTTATTATGGATACTGAAAGTATACATATTTTACGAAGTGGTAAAAAAAGAAGAAATGATCAGACTAAAAAAAGAATTAGTGGAAAATCGTATGCGACCAGGAAAAGCAATAATACAATTCAGGAAAGCGTCAACTTAGTTGTTATAACTTTGGAATACATCTCGGTGACAGCAATACAGCCTTTATGTATATGTGGGATGAAAGTATTGCTTCTCGTGGAAGCTCAGAAATCGCTTCTTGTCTTTTTCAAGTTATTAACAAAAACGAAAATACGATAAATCGCAAAAAACTAATTATATGGTCAGACAACTGTGCTGGCCAAAATAAAAATAAAACGTTAGTAGTTTTGATGTTATATTTAATAAATATGGGGATATTTGATGAGATTATACAAAAATTTTTGATAAGTGGCCACTCTCTCTTGGATTGTGATCGTGATTTTGCTATTATCGAAAAGAGACGTAGAGTTTTTCAAAATTTCACTCCTTCTGATTTACAAGAAATGGTTAGAGCAGCGAAGTTGACAAATCCATTTCGAGTTATTCCGATGGATGAAAACAACTTTTTCTCATTTAAAGACATTGCTAACAATTTTCTTAACACAACCAAGTTTCCAATTTCTATATATTCGATGATTAAAGTTTCATCTCTAACTCCCAAAAAAATCTATAATAAAAAAACATTTTCAGATGAAGAACTTTGGAAAGATTTTAACGTTTTTAAAAGAAATGCTACTATAGACCAACTTAAAAATCAGACATTTATACCTATACCGAAACCCACATTGTCGTCAGAGAAGAAAAAAGATTTGTTGGCCATGATTCCTTTTTTACCTGATAAACACAGAAACTTCTATAAAAATATAACGTCATGAATTAATTTTTTTTGCTATTTATTATGATGTTGCTATGTTCTAATTATGTTTAAACTAGAGTTTTTTTTTAATTATTATTAGGTTTGTTAATTTATTTTTCAATTTGTGATACTCAAGAAAGCTACTGTTTTCTATTCTTGTTACATTTTTATATGAAGAAAAAATTTTATTTTACGTTTTGAGATTTACTGACAATGTCATGTTAGATTAAGAGTATTTTTTATTTAAGTTTGTAGATTTATTTTTCAATTTGTGATACTCAAAAAAAGTATTGATTTTTTTACATATTTTAAAAAATATATATGAAGTCTTAATAAAATAAAGAATGATTTTCTGTTATCTATAATAAAATATTGGTACTTGGAACGATAATATTATCACATTATTTGGAACTCGGAACTTTAATATTATAATACTTGGCACTTGGAACTCTCATTAGCAAATGTTTAATTTATACTAATATGAAATGACAAAATAAAATAATAGAAATTTACGAGGCTATTAATATAGTTTAAAAATAGCATAACATATTTTTATACAAAATTATAAGAAAATTTAATTTGTGATGTTTTTTGTTTTCTGAACAAATATTTTTTTGGCACATAGAACGTTTGACACATTCACTCTTCATATATATATATAAAAATAATGCGACATAAGTACGTAAACGTATCATGCACTAGGTATAACTGTGTTTTGCGGGCGGGCGGGTCAGACTAACATTATACCTGAGGTATAAACGGCGGTAGGAATATATACGTAAGCTGTATGACACGCGGATGGTATTGGTCAGTCAAAATAAAAATTTGTTTATATTTATATAATATTGATGACAAGCATGCGTGTACGGGTACGATAACTNAAGCATGCAACAAATTTTTATTTTAAAAATAAATTTTTATAGGAATAGTGTGCCGTCGTGTGGTGAGTGAGGCGTGGGGAGGGGTGAATGCGTTACGACAGTCTAGTCTCAAGGCCATAGACGACGGGATACGCGATAACGCGTGGCGTTTGGAGAGATGCATACATACATACATACCAGTGTTGAGAAGGAACTAGTTCCAAAAGGAACGGATTCCTGGAACGAGTTCTTTTTGAAAGAACGATGCTAGGAACTGCTTCCTTTTAAAATAAAGGAACGAGGAAAATGAACAAATTCCATTTTTTAAGGAACGTGAACGGAAATTACAGTTCCTAAAATTTTTTATAAACATGTTTTAGTGTAGTTTTCTTCGTATCTAGACATTAAAATATTATGGTATTTTTAGTTGACTTTTGACAATGGAAGTCCCCTATATATCCAGCCGAGATCGTAGGCTGTTTAAATGAATCAATTGATTATAGATAGAGTTATTATCACATGTAGGTATACAGTAAATATTTAATATATGTGTACATATATTAAATAATGCACCGAATATTATCGTCGTTTCTTGTTAACTAATTTATGTTAAAGGTTTTGGGTTTTCTGATTTATTATTTCTAACTTATATGTAGACAATAGACATTGGTCGCGTTGACACAAGTCGTTAGCATTTACTACCTGGTTATAAATATAATTTTCGAATACTTTTAGATAAGGAATACTACAAATTTGTTTTGTATTCGACTGCTGATGAAAATCATTGATGACCGTTATCATGATCTCATTGCCACAATTTTTTAAATAACTTATAAAAGGAACGAAGAGTGGAACGAGTTCTTATTTTGGAAGAACTGGATCTGGAACAAGTTCCTTCTTAATATAAAGAATTAGGATCTGGAACGAGTTCATATTTTAGAAAATGAACGGGGAACGGAACGAATTCCATTTAAAAAGGAACTTTCCCAACACTGATACATACATACATACAGGTGAAACTAATATAAGCGTGTTAAAAAAAATTTGAAGATTTAAAGTATAATTTCGCTTGTAATGTAATTTTTCAATGGTTTTGATGGTACTAAATAGCCAAGGAACCCTCTCCTCTTTTTCGCCTATGAATATTACATATCCAATTCGGATAAAGTAGATTGAGTATCTAAATATTTATCGTTTTATCAGTCGTGTATTGTAAATGTATTCCAAATATTTTTAATAATCATATATTTGAACTATTTTTAAAAAAGCTGGCATAAATCAGAAGCTTAGTATGGTTCTTTTTAAATTTGGTTCTTTTAAAATTTAAATAGTTCCATGAAATTTATTTTTAAATAAAGTTTTTTTTTATCCCCCATAATGTATTGAAGTAACAATAATTACAATGTACAATTTTTTGCACAATACTGACTGATAGTAGACTTTATAGAATTTAATTACTGATTCCGAAGGTGGCATCAGAGTATTAAGATTGGTTCTAGCTTTAGAGATAAACGAAATAATTCGTGTAAAAATGTATACAGATACTACAAGTTTAACCCCCATAAAAGGTTGATTTTGTTAATCATTTTTCAAAAAAAGTTGAAATTAAAGTTGTACATTTTTAGATTCGATACGAACCTGAGAAGGTATTAATTTTACTGTTTTTTTTTTGTCTGTTACCACTTTTTCTCAGCTTTCACCAAACCGATTTCTTTCAACGATACGTCAATAGATCACAAATCGTATCTAGTCGAAGACAATTGAAAAAATTACCCTCGTTCCCTGTAAATGGGGGAAACCTCCAAAATAATTACAAATTTTAAAATCCCTAATTTTCAATTTTTTTTACTTGAAACTGCCATAACTTTCTTAAAAATGAACAAATCAATATCATTTTTTTTTTTTTAGATGCTTGATCTCTACCTATCATTTGGTATATTTTTTTTTTTTATAAATCTGACCCTTTACCTGCCCACAGGGGGGATTCTAAATGACAACTTTTTTAACTTAAATTTGAAAGTGTTCCAGAAATACTGACACTTTTATACATACCTTTAAGTAAAGCATATGTAAAATACTTAATTATGGAAAAAAAAAATTCAGACTTTACTTTGTCTCTATGGTAAAAATGGCACCCGTATTCTATTTTTGTGTTAAAATTCTCAATTTTATATTTTACATTTTTAACTTTATAATGCTATAACTTTTTAAAAAATGAATGGATCAATACAATTTTTTTTATGATAAATACTATTTATATAACTCTTTCATTCAACATACTTTTTTTCTTAAATAAAACCATTTCCCTTTAAATATTTATATATTATAAATATATTTATTCATATATTACACTTATAAATCATAAAACTAGTAATCAGGATATAAATAAGGAAGTAGGAGATCATATAGCTTTTGGAATAGTCCATCAATTTTTTAAAATTAAACACCATCTACAGATTTGCATCGAAGCATATTTTATGATAGAGATTTCAATCACTATCAGATATCATTTTACTTGACTCAACTAAGCTACGTCCCACTGTGATTTTTTTTGCTTAATTTTTGTAATAATATATTCAACACTTTAATAGTAAATAAGAAATGTAAATGATAAGTCTATAGTACATGTTTATAAATAAGTCTCATCCATTCTACACAAATAGTCAAAATTTAGAATTTGTCAGTTATCTTAAAAATAAAACACATTTATATAATACAGAAATTTAAATGAAATTAATTGAATAATAGAATAATTTGGGACATTTTTTTGTATTAATTTTCTTGTTCTTAATAATTTTGAAAAAGTACAAAAACACTAATGTATGCAAAATTGAAAAGTATTTTGCATTCCAAACACAAGTACTACTCAATAAAATCAAGAATAGTTTTCTTAAAGTATTTAAAAGTAATAAGAATACTAGTATTTAAGCATTTCAAAATATTAATAGATTCTCTTATTTTTAAACGCTTATTTAGTAATTTAAACCTTCTAACTCTCACCAAAGCAACAATTTTAAATAATAAATTGAAATTATTTCTATTTATTTTCTAACTGTAACCTTAGTAGTTTACTATAATCAATGTATGCAACACAACCTTAACCTTGCTAGAGTTAAAGTTATAGTTTCCATAGTTACTTCCACAAAAAACGAACAAGCTAAATAACTTTATTTCTTAATATTTGGTGTAATTAAATGAATATATTCATGCAGCAACAACAGTTAATAAAAATTATCTAAAATAAATCCTTTATTTTTTCATTTGAATCACTATATAAAATATTTTTAACAAAATGTACAATTTATAAAAATCTACTGCATAAATCTAAAAAAAAATTTTAAGTATCAATTTTTTTCCCTAAAGCATAAACAGTTGAATAATTTATTATCTTATCCAATTTTTCATAAAAAGTTAACACATCTGGATTAGCCCAAACATACTTGGTGTCAAAATCTATGATTTTTAATGATTTTAAACTTTTAGCTCTAGATAATGCAACATAAGCTTGACCAGCTTCAAACACTCGACCCAAAGATATTTCAACACAGTCCAAAGTCAATCCCTAAAAATTATACTTATTATAACATCATTAAAATTACTAATATCATAAATAATTATGATAAAACCTGTGATTTGTGAATGGAAAATGCCCAAGCTAACTTCAATGGTAATTGCTGTCTAGATAAAAATTGTCCAGTGGGAGTTTTAATAATCCATTTTTCAGATTTAATGGCAACCTTAAAACCATTCTTGAATTGCACGATTGGTGATCCTAAAAATGTAATAAAACTATTAAATAATATAATTTTTAATTTTAAAAGAAACAAATTCTTTCACAAACCATTTTTGTCAAATTGTTTAACAATCCCTCGAGCACCGTTTACTAAACCACTGTTTACACTAATATTTTTTAATAACATTACTTGAGCACCTGGTTTAAGAATAATAGTTTTTTCTACTGGTGTTAAATCGTCCAATATCTTAGAAGATCCACTGTCAAAAGATTCAAACTTGGATTCTACTCCAGGAAGATCTGTTAATTTTTTTTTATTTATCATTTGAGCATCAAGTGTTCGACAACACAGTCTTGTAGGTACAATACCATTTTGTTCTAAAGAATTGGTTGCAGTAGATTTTAATATTGAAGCAGTATCTGGTGATATTCTAAATGAATTAATAAGATATATTTAGGGGTTCATTATTTTAACAAAGTATATTAAAGTAATAATTTAACCAATTAATTAATTCTTACTTTCCTATTCGTAAATCATTTAAAATTTGTATAAAACTATCATCAGTCTGTCTATGAACTGTTTTTAAATTGAAACATTGAAATCTACAATTTACCCAAGTGATTGTTTGAAAACAGAACCTATATTTTGTTTGTTTAACAGGTGGTAGTTGTAAAAAATCACCACATAAGACAAGCTTTATACCTCCAAAAGGTTGGTTATCACATCCTCGGACAGCTTTAGCAACTTTATCTAGTTTCTTTAAAAATTGAATTAATAATTTCTAATCATTAATGTAATACACATGGAGGGAAATAGCTGACCAATGTGCTATGGCCATGGAGAATACATAACACAGTCTCAATGGGTGCCAGTTGAAACCTGTCACATATTGTCTAATTACTAATATTCATTTTATTTTTTTTTTTTGTTATAAATGTATAAGTTAATAGATTTATGTATCATTATTATTATTACATTTTTTATTAATTTAATGTGAACTCAGTAGACTAGTAGAGTAAACTAAATAACAGTCAATTACAAATAAAGTAAGTCATCATATTTGAACTTTTTTTTATAAAGTTTTATTAACTTTGAACTATATACATAAAGATTGATTAAACTGTGTTGTGATAAATTTTATATATAAATAAAGTCAATAACTGATAAATTGTAAATTAAAAACTAGTTTAGAATTAATATAAAAAAAAACCCAGCATGGATGTCGCGTCACAGTGGTGACGTGGCATATTTGGATCAAATATAATGATATCTGACAGTGATTAAAATCACTATCATAAAAAATGCTTCAATCCAAATCTTTGGATAGTGTTTAATTTTAAAAAATTGGTGGATTATTCCAAAAGCTACATAATCTGCTATTTCCTTATTTATATCCTGATTAAGATAAAGTATGTCGAATGAAAAAGGGATATAAATATTAATTCTTATAAAAAAATTGTGTTGATCCATACATTTTTCAAAAAGTTATAGCATTATAAAGTTAAAAATGTAAAAAATAAAATCGAGAATTTTGACACAAAAATAGCATTTGGTAGCCATTTTCACCATGAAGATAAAATAAATTCCGAAATTTTTTTTTTCCATGATAAAGTATATTATATTTGCTTTAATTTAAGATATATATAAAAGTGTCAGACTTTCCGGGACAATTTCAAAAGTTATGTTGAAAAATTAATTTTTTGTGAAAAAGTTGTCATTTTGAATCCTCTCCTGTGGGCAGGTAAAGGGTCAGATTTATAAAAAAAATTTACCAAATGATAGGTAAAGAGATCAAGCATCTAAAAAAAAAAAATGATATTGATTTGTTCATTTTTAAGAAAGTTATGGCAGTTTTAAGTAAAAAAAATTGAAAATTAGGGATTTTAAAATTTGTAATTATTTTGGAGGTTTCCCCCATTTATGGGGAACGAGGGTAATTTTTTCAATTGTCTTCGACTAGATACGATTTGTGATCTTTTGACGTATCGTTGAAAGAAATCGGTTTGGTGAAAGCTGAGATATAGTGGTAACAGATAAAAAAAAAACACATCATATTAAAACCAATACCTTCTCAGCTTCGCATCGAAGCTAAAATATTGATATTGTAAAGTAGGCTAAATATTTATATAACTGTAGACTCATTATCAAGTAAAATAATTATATATATAGATAAAAATAACATTATTCATACTTCAAAATATTCACCATCTACCATGGAAATTTCGTCAATAATCAATGTTTTACATTTGCGCCAAGTTTGAACATATGGTGACTTAGAAGCCATTTGAATTCCTTTTTCAATTGTGCATTCACCAGTACCAATTCCAGCAAATGAATGTAATGTTACACCACCAATGAGACAAGCGGAAGCACCTGTACTTGCTGTAACCATTGTCACGTCTGGTGGTAAAGTACTTACAATATAACGCAATAAAAAAGATTTACCAGTTCCTGCACTACCTAAAAAAAAATATTATAAATTTGTACAAATATTTTAATGTACTACTTAATAATTTGTCTAAATATTATTTATATTAATAGGAACTAATACTATTACACTTAAATTGAAAAAGTGCATAAATTAAAAATGTATATTTTAAGTTATAATGGTGAAAACTTGATGGGCACCATTTTGATTCTGTATTAAACTATTTGGTAGGTCTATATTTTTTTCTTCGTATAAACATATGTTTATATTAAATAATAATTAAATGTTATAAGTCACAAAACTAGACTAAAAACCGTTGTTGAAGATACAATTTAAAAAAAATAATTTAAGAAAGAGCAATAAATTGAAATTAAAGAATGATTAATTGGTCACACTGCATTATGAAAATAATTTGTTGATAATAAGTCGATACTTAAGTTAATAGAAAAACACACAAACCGGTCTAATGGAATTACTAATTCGTCATTTATGAATTTTTTTTTTTAATTAAACAAATTTACATTTAGTACAAAATCATTAAATGGCTAGCAATCGATTTACGCCCAAAGGCTATCCTAGAGTACCACTTCAAAATGGTATAGGACGTTACATTTGTCAACTAAAAAGAGTTACATTAAGATTTTGTAAAAGTAGTGGTTCTAGTCGAGGAGTACGTGACTTTATTGAATCAAATCTATTAAGATTTGCTGAAGATCACTCCGGAACAGCAGTATATTTAAAACCACGAAGACATAAATCTCCATCATTTGTTGCTGAATATCTAAATGGTGAAAGAGAAGTGGTTAGTTGTCACAATTTTACAGCAGAACAAACTTTAAAATGGCTTAACTTGTACACTACTCGGTCAGGCATACCATTACAAAGACATCTTAAGATGTGGCATACAGATTGCCCATCCATACAAGGTGTTTGGAATCCATTTACAAATAGAGATCCTGTTTTAAATGTTACAGATTTTCCATCAAAAGAATTATCATGCCCATCAAATGAAGAACAATCAGCTACAGATGAGTTATTAAACATGATTAAAAAGCAAAATCTAAAAAATGAAACTGAAGAAGAAAATATAAAACAAATAGTAGTTCAAGGTTAAGTTACAATGATGTAAAACCAATTGTTATATATTAGTTTTTTAAAATAAATGTGTGTAGAAATTTATCTAAAATACTAATATTTTTATTTTTAATATAGATTAATTTATGCTTAGACTTCATTGATTCTATTGACACTATAGTTTTAGTAATTACTAAAGAACTAGTGTTTTCTTTATCAATTTATTTTAACAAAATTTTAGTGTACACTAAAACTCTATATATTCCCATTAGACTATACAGAACTTCAATTGAAGTCCATTATCATGGGTATAATTGGACAAAGTTTGTTAACTTATCAATGGGCTTTATATATTTATGTAAATTGTTGTTCTGGGCTGAGCCTAGAACTTAAGGAAAATATACAATTGAGCTGATTTTAGTAACATTTTTTTTTCATATTTCTGAATTATTTATGCAAAGCTAAAAAAAAAAATAATCCCATGTTAATTTAAAGAATTACTCCTTTAGTTACTAATTAAAATATATATGTATTTTTTTAAAATTGTAAACCATTTTTTAACAAATAATGCATGAAAACTTATAAATTTTTTTTTTTTAATTTGTATAAATATTAAATATAATTCATTATAAATCACTAGAATTTCTCATTTCATAAAATATAAAAATTAGCTAATATAGACCAATGAAGCTACTTAATAGGTATGTTTTTAGTACTTTTTTTTTAAAAATTTCTATAATAAATATTTTTATAATTTTTTTACCATCAGTAAAAAATTAAGTTGTTAAATAAACTCTGGAGAATTTTACACTACATAATAATGATAACTTTTTATTTCAATAATAGCTTATTGATAAACAGAAAAGCAGATATGGCCAACTCAGTCATAATAAGGTTCCGTCAGGTTGATAGTCAATATGAAAAACCTGTCAAATAATAAGGTAGTGCGGACTCTAAATAGAAAAGATAAAGGCTAAGGAGATGATAGTAATAATGATGATTAAAGGAGTTTGGAAGATTTAAACACTTCCAATACAAAATTTTTTTATAAATAATCAAATCATATAACAAAATAATAGTAGGCATTAGACATTCAAAACCTTTTGCATGAATAAAGCATACATACACCAGTGATAGGTGATATATATCGATTTATAATAACATAGATTTTTTCACTTCAATATATTAATAGTCATTTTAATTTTATTGCTAAATCAATATTTATTTGTTCATAAATATTTTTTATAATAACACAATGGAGTTAAATACTTCTATTATCATTTTTATCAGTCGTACTCCACAAATTATATAATGTAAAAATGTTGATGTCTCCTAAATCTACTATTATTTGTAAACAATTTAAACTTTCTAGTCTATTAAAAATAAGTCTCTTCATAAAGAAAATTGATTTTTTGAAAAATCTATATTTTTTGTTGATTTAATGTATAGTTCAATATTTTTTATTTGATATAAATCTATTTAAAAAATCAATACACTTTTAGAAATTGCTCATCACTAATCTATGCCCTAACTAATGATAGTCTTCTATTTACTAAATAAATGAAAAAGTTACTTTGATAACTATTAAAGTATTCTTAAAATTATCCTTAAATTTCTATAAAAGCCAATTCATTATTAGAAATAATTGTTTTTTATAACATGTAGAATCTTTTATTTAATATTACACAATTATTAAATAACTGTTAATTTAGTTAACATCAACCAATTTTGATTTTTAAACTGTTGTATTCTGGATAAGAGTTGAGTACAGTGGTTTCCTGTTACTTTCTACATTAGGAGCCAATCTACCACCACTGTTTTTTACATGTTCACCAATTAGACAACTAGTATTAGCAATGAGATCTTTGATTTAGTATTTACGATATATCAAGAATCTTTAGTAATACTAATATTATTATAGTAATTTTAATAATACATTAAAGGAAAGGTATAGAAGATAAATAAATATTTTACCTGTAAAAAATATGTTGTGTTTAGAATTAACTGCATTGACTACATCTAGTTGTTCTTTTGATAATTTATCTTTGTGAGACATCAAATAATTCTTTTTAATAACTTCTTTTTTGAGATCATCATCTAGTTTTCTTTTATTTGTGCTTATATTTTCTGTTTTATCAGAAACAGATATACGGCTAACATCTTTAGCATTAATTGGACTAATTTCTTGAGTAACACTTCTTTTTACTGCTAGCAACCTCTCTCTAGTTTTAATCTTAAAAGTAATAAATGTATTTAAAAAATTATTGCTGGTAGGTAAATAAACTTCAATGCAAACAAATTAAGTACCTGAGGTGAATCTTTGCGTCCAGTAACTTTGACAAATAACAATTTGAGAAATTCTGTTAATTGTGTTACTGGAGCATTAGACAGCATCATCATGACTTTTTCATTCTTAAAATGTATTGATGCTTTACCATCACATAAAAATCGTTTATGGACAGAAATATCTTTAAGTAGAAATCGCTGTCCAACATTTTTGTCAGCTGATACATCTAAATATATATCTCTAAAGTCGTTGCGTGTTAATGCTAACTTTGCCGAAGTTGACTTAAATCGTTTTAATACTATTCCTTGATCATTTAACCATTCAATGTTACAGGTACATAGTAAAGACATCCCTTTTTAAAAATGTTTACTATAAAAATATAATAAATTTTTACAAGAATAAAAAATAACGGATAGGTTTGAACATTATTTAACAAAATGTATTCAAAATAATTAAGCTCACACTTATTTAAACTAGAAAGTAAAGTTTTTTTATATTTAAATTTTAAATCTAATCAAACCGTTAACGTTATCACAACAAATAGGGGAAAATTAATTTCTACCAATTATTTAAATTCCAATCATATGATTATAGATAAGTCTTATCTATAATCGTGATTCCAATATTGCTTTTTCAAATTTGCATCACAAACTATATGTAAAAATTGTCTGTGTAATGTGTAAATGTAGGTTAACAAAAGCATGGTTTTTTGTGATACATTTTTTTACATTTTATTGGTTATTAGATTATAACCGGGCGCTTTCCCTAGAGGAAGTTTTTTTATTAAATACTCTACTTCACCTGGAATTTGGGTTTGGTTGGTAAAACCATTGGTAGCGGAGTTGTTAAGAAGGTTTTTAATTCTTCATTGAAGTTACTGTCTGAGTATAAATTAGTATTGGGAGTGAATGTTCTTGCCAATTGTGCCGCAAAAATGTTGGCTTTATTCTGATCCGTTATAGCTAAGGTGCCATTTTCTTGACGTATTGGAAGTACATTTTCTTTTTTTTTTTGTGAGCCTTTGAGTTGCTTTCCAAAGAGAACCATTATTTTGATTTAAAGAGTTAAGATATAGTTTGTACTGATCTGCTTTGAAGACAGATGGTTTTTTTTTAAAGCATTTGCTAGCCTATTAAAGTACTGTTTTTGGCTTGGTAATCTAGTATTGTGCCATTTAGCTCTGGCTCGTTTTTTTTCAATAATTAATTGTTGAATAGTTAGAGGTAATTTTTCCATAGAATTAGTTAATTGAAAATTAGAGTGTTTTGATGAAATAGTAACTGCTTGCTGAATAATTTGTGTGATGGAGTGAGCTGCTGCATCTATATCTTCTTGAGATTTAAGGGGTATTTTTAAAGTAATTTTGCTGTCTATGTTTTGTTTGAAACTATACCAATTCACAGGCCCGAGAGAAAGAGATGGCCTTGTATTTAATAATGGCTTTTCTTTTATAAAAAGTACTACTGGAGAATTATCACTTGATAAATCAGATACATTTTGAATACTTGTATGTATATGAGCAGGTATTTTTATTTTAATTTTAATAACGGTTGCTTGTAAAAATTTTCTTGAAATCCCGGTGATTGATAATGCTGAATGTTAGAAGAAATAAGTATTGCAGTACCAGCATGTGCTATACCGTCTGGATGGTTGGTTTTATAAAGTGTATAGTCATTGATTTTAAAATTAGATTTGTGTGTTAAATGTGTTTCTGTAATTAGTGCAATATCAATTTTTTTTTCGAAGAGAAAATACTGTAATTCGTTTTTATGTTGGTTTACTCTATTTGCATTCCAATGAAGTATAGTTAATTTAGGTATGTTATTGTTAGAGTTAGTAATTTTTTAATAATATTTTGTTTATAGCAGTAGTGAGAAGAGTAATTAGTGGGTTAATTAATGACTTGAGATCATTAATAAATGTTGATAGTTGGTTTGTAAGGTTTTTTGAGTCTTGAGTGTTGTCATTAATCAGTACTTAGGCGTACATTTGTTGTGAGGTGTGACCTAAAGGCTCATTTACAATATTTGAATTAAGAGTTTGTGTTTTCGGTAATTGAGTATTTTTGTAAGTGGTTGATTTCTGTTTTTTCGTGAGATCCTTGTAGACTGTACAACCTCGATAACTCGAAGGATGTTGTCCTTGACATAATGCACATTTGGGTGGTTGATCAGGTGTTTTTGTACAATTTTGTGTCAAATGTGTTTCTCCTCATTTAACACAACATGGTTGATGGTTGTAAAAATTTTTTGTGTGACCAAAATCTTGAAATCTTACACATTGTTTTAAGTGACGGCGAGGATGGGGTTCCTCTACTTTTATTTTAGTTTGACAAATCGAATTTAATTTAAAAATTTCGGAATTTTGTTGGTTTGCTTCTAAATCGACAAAAAAAAAAA